GGGATGAAGGGCAACAAGATTCCTGCCATCCTTTGATGTCTAAACTGTACAGACTTAATTTTTAACACAGCTATACTGTGTGAAGTGTATACTAGGAAAGCATTGCGTTCAGATAACCAAATTTCTTTGGAAGCAGCAGTCAGAAATGATGTTGCAGTCACTTTACAGCTCTGGTCTTATATTTTGGCTAATCTGTATGCAGGAGGAATGTACCATGCGTGGTGTCTGTGACAGCCATGAGAGCTAAGCATTAAACACGCAGGAGACTAGGCGTACTTCCCACGGACATGGTCAGGCACTTGCATAACTGTCCTGGCATCAGCAGTGCTGTTCTCTCAGTAGGTAAATGAGCTGAAATGCAGAAGTCTCATGAGCCATCTTCCCCAATTTGAATGTCTTGTCATGACTTTTTCTATGTCGTCACGGTGTTACATGTGTTTGGGAAGTTTTCATTGAATGTTTTCTTTCAACTTTTTGAGTAAAATAAGAATGTGACTGTTATTGCTGTCATTTATGTCATCTCCTTCCATGCGGCAAATGCCTAAATTACTACCCCTAACAGCCAGCAGGAGCTTAGCAGTTTTGAAAAGCAGTTTAAATACGCAATGTTTAAATGCAGATTTAGTAGCCTAATGTTTAATCCTACATTTTGAGGCTCTGCTCTCAATATGACCTTTGGCATGGCATTTTTTAGCATGAGAGGTCTTTTTAGCCTAGTTCTTCAAAATAACACGGTATTTGTGCTGTTTATTGTATTGTGTGTAGGTGCATAGTTCCATTATATGAGTAACTGGTTTGTGTGCGTCTAAGTACTTAAGAGTTTTGTCTGAGATATCAACTAATAGCTGTAAAAATATCAACTCTGCATGACATGTCTTTCAAGGTTGAAGCAGTCATTATTAGCTGCCTTCTCACTTCTGTTTATTCAGTTTGCTTGCTGCATGGCCATCAAGAAATGCTGCTAAATTTCTTCTATAGAAGGCTCAATAGCTGAATTGAGGAACCTGTTGTTTTTACAGAATCTGAATGGCAGAATGTGAGGATGGTGGTGTGGAGGGCATCAGTGTGCTGCTCTTGCAGCTTCCTGGTCTTGACTGCCTGGATCTGCTGCTTAAGGAACAAAACCTTGATCAGGAGGGTTATGTGTGTGCAGCAGCCGGTTTAGTTCAACTCATAAAAGTGGGAAGCTGCCCAAGGGTACTGAGTCTACGCAGGTCTGAAATATTAAGCTGGGCAATGGTTAACTACTGCTTAAATTTGAAATTTAGCTGTTTAGGACTGGAATGTTGCAGGCTGGAGTAAATATGAGCTTTGTCTGTTGAGACAACGGGGTTGTTAAGTAATTGACTGTGTCCTGGTAGTTGGGATCATACCATTGCTTTGAACAGAAACAGGTTGTATTGTAGGCAACCTTAAGGAAATATATTCATTGACTCTTTAGGTCAGTCTTAGTGCAATCTTTCATGTTCAGGAACAGAAAAGTGATAGAATTTTATAGCAGAATCTGTATAGTTTAAGATGATTTAAAAAAAAATCACTACCTTTCATACATTCACGCTTTTTTAAAGCAATCCACCTTTCTAAGGGTTCAGATATGCTTTCCTTTGTATCTGAAAAACAGTCACGGGTTCTCTGTATGTTGGTTTTAAGTTACAGGAATGTAGAGAAGATGATGCACCATCCCTTATTTTTAAACTATTTAATCAAATAAAGAGTGTAGGCTGAGTTTATCATGGTTAGTCTTGCTGTTAGTATGTCTGCGTTGATGGGGAAGTGAACAGTCATGCTGAGTATTGTAGAATTATTGCTTGATGATGCAGGTTCTGCCTTTATTTGTGTGTGGGGGTTTTTTTACTCGCTTTGAGGATTTAAGCAAAGAAAATATATTGCTTGTAGTGAAAGAAGCAAAGAGATTTTTGCAGCTTAAAATAAGGCTGACTCTCATGACTTGCTTAACTATCTAGAAGACGTTTATTCTGTTATTGAGAGGTTGTTAGGTAATTCCAGTATTGACTGTTTCCTTATCAAAACATTGGTTAATTTATTTTGATCAGGCTGTAGCTGCTACTGTCTTTCATGCTTCAACAGCTGCTGTTAGCCATATATCACATCAGAGGTGTGACTCTTATTGAGGAAGTTGGAAGAAGGTTTGGCAAGAGCACAACTGACTGTAAAGGGCTGTGGTCATTAATTTTAAGGTGAAACTTAAATCTCAACTTAAATACTCTTACAATTTGAGACATCTTCTTAAACAAGGTCTTACGCTGTGTTTCAAACCTAAGAGCTTTAGCATCAACAGCTCAAACATGAAGTCGAATCACACTTCAGATGAAAATGCAGATCTAAAATCATACATAGTGGCAAACAGTGTTTTTGCTCTTAATTTAGATGATGAATTTGTTTACAAAGTACAGTATGAACTTAAAGGTTACTTTTCTTTTGAAAGATCACGTGCTGAGGAAGCCATGTGAGTGCTAGGTTTCATAGCACATGTCCTTCATTGTAAAGCAGAGTCCCTAGCCCAGACTCCATTGGGATGGAGTGAACTGGGCAGAAATAATGTGTGTAGTAAAACAAAACCCTTACCCTATTTCAGTTTGGTTTTTTGAGAGTCGTAGCCTAGCTACTGTTAACCGATGTTGACTGTTACCTGTGGCTGACTGGCCTGAATTTTTTCAGCTTGTCAGATGAAAAGCAGTTAATAAAGCAGTAGGATTCAAATGTGTGCTTGTTGCTTTTAACCTTGTTTCTGGAGATGCTCAGTTACTTTGTCTATAGCAGATGGCAAAGAGAATTCCTCTGTGTAGATTTAATTTCTTTTTATTGGAAAGTTTCATTAGTTCTTCAGGAGAGTAGAGCGTGTTTGTCTTAAAAAAGATTCTTTTAGCAGGCATGATTTATATAATGAGTGAAAATTCTTACATGTTCATAACTCTGTGGTTATAAACACATTAGAGGATGGGTGAGATCCTCTACTCGGCTCAAGTTTGATGTTGCCCAGATTACATCAGCGGTTGGCAGGTAATAGTATCTCTGCGCTATGCTTTTTAGCATTTCCAAGCAAAGAGACCATTCCATTAGGTGGAGACTCTCAGTACACACTGACATACAGCTTTGGCAGGTCCTGATGCATCAGCAGTAGCAGTGCCAGATGTCCTCAAGCAATCAGGGGTCTTCACCATGACTGTAGTCTGCTCTGGAGCAGTCTAATAGCAAAAGTTTCTTTTGTGGGAACTCGTTTTTGTGGGAAAAGTTTCTCGTTGTGGGAACTTTCTTACTGGGTGTGCTTTAGTAAACTGATAGAGGTGGTAAATATTACAGATGGCTTTGCTTAATAATGGAAATGAAAAAAAAAAAAGGTATTAGAGATATGAAGATGGCTCATAGTTTACCTCCAAGTGATTTAGGAGTATAAGTGTTAATATCCCAGCTGAGCACTAAAGAGATTTAAGAGTGTGGTTTTAAAGGTGACATTCAAATGCTATTTTAAGAGGAGTGATAAATGCTTGTGCTTTTCCTCTTGCCCTCTGCTTCATGCTGTAGAAGGTCCTTTTGACAGTGGCTACAAGAAGGGTAATAAATGTGCTGATATTTTCTCCCTAAAACTTGTCTGGGACAAATCACCTTCAGTCAAGTACTCTGGCCTGGCATTTTGCATCCTAAGTGACTGAAGGTATCTCTCCTCCACTACAAAATGCAAGATGTGAAAGCACAAACTTGTAAATCTTCTTTACTTTGGTTGCTGTTTAAAGGGCGAGTTGGTATCTGCAAGTAAAGTTGCTACTAAAGGATAACAAAGATACAAAAATATTTGGTTTTATTTGCTGTGTGGATAGGCTCCCTTGACTAGCCTAGAAGTTTATTTTGAGATGTAAGACATAGCATTTAAAATTCTGATCGTAAGAAGAAAAGACCACATTGTTCACAGTAAATGGATCCAAACGAAATCTTACAAGTTCTTGAGGGGAGAGAATGGGGGACACATGCCAGAACAGAAGAGTCTTACCTGTGGAAAACCCAAATGGGAACTTTTCTGTTACTGCGTGTTGCTTTTTTTTTTCCCTCCAAGTCCAAGTGTGTACCTTGTTAGGTTTGCTTTTTATTATTTTAGTTCTTTTGCCATTACTAATTCTCTTGAGTGAGTATTCAAGATTATAATTCTGGAGAGAACAAAACTTCTCTGTTCTTCTGAAGTGCTGTAGTTGCAGTAGTAGCATGATAACCTGAAGATGAGTAATGAACTTCAATGACACTTGTTCCCTGTTACTATCATGAAGGAAATTAGAATAGGGATTGTGAATGAAGCTTTTGAATTTAATTTTCTTACACAAATTGAGCATATAGTTTTGTTTAACTGGGAAGAGGCATTGTCTTTCAGTTTTACAAATGTGTTAAATTAAGATAAACTGTGAGTGTTAAAAAAATTTTTTTTTTTTCTTTCCTAAAGGCTAACTCTTGGGGTTTGGTATATTTTAGTGGGTCGTGTCTGTGTGCACTTGAAAAATCTGTTGTCTGTATAACTAACTTTAGTTCATTGTAAGACTTGGTGGTTCTGCTTGCTCATCTGATTACGCAGCTCAAGGGAATAAGGTTAAGGACATGCTGTTGGTAACTAGAGCGTTTTCAGGGCTTTAGTTCAGCAGATGGGCTGCCTGGCTATATTCATACATCTGCCTACCTGCTGTGGCAGCTGCTGCTGCTGCATGTTGTGTTCTTTTGTTCTGTTCCACCCAAGAAGGGAGCACTAGGAAGTCTAGTGAATGGATTAATTTAAGGTTAAGGCTAGTGTTTTGCTTGCTTCCTAACTCTCCATCACAATAAAGCTTCTGATAAAGCTATTGAATCCTTCGTAAAGTGAAATAGATTTTTAAGATGTATTTCAGGGGGCTGAAACTAACTAGGGTTGTTTAAAAACCAGTCAAGTATTTTTCTTTACGTTGCCTGATGTTATTTATTTCAATATCTTCCTCTCTTTCTCCTCCCTCCCCCACTTTTTCTAGGAGCAGTAACCAGACTTTGCCTGACACTGCGTGGTCCAAAAGAATTAAGGAAATATGGAATGACATGAAGGAGATTAGTTGAGGATTAAAGGCTTTGAGGACAAAACACCTCACCGAGGTGAAGCACAGACTAGCATTCTGGTTGTAGCTCTGAGGAGCTGTGTGCTGAAAAAAGATGGCAGATCCAGGAATGATGAGTCTGTTTGGAGAAGATGGTAATATTTTCAGTGAAGGGTTGGAAGGTCTTGGAGAATGTGGATATCCTGAAAATACAGTGAATCCTATGGGGCAGCAAATGCCCATGGATCAAGGATTTCCCACTTTACAGTCATCTCTTCATCATCCCACTGCAAATCAAAATCAAGCCAAGTTGACCCATTTTGATCACTATAATCAATACGAACAGCAGAAGATGCACCTGATGGATCAGCCGAACAGGATGATAAGCAATGCCCCTGGGAATGGTATAGCATCTCCTCATTCGCAGTATCACAACCCTCCAGTTCCTCAGGTTCCTCACAGCAGTGGTGCTGGTGGTCAGATGGGAGTCTATCCCGGCATGCAGAACGAAAGACACGGGCAACCCTTCGTAGACAGTGGCTCCATGTGGGGACCACGGGCAGTTCAAGTGCCAGACCAGATAAGAGCACCATACCAGCAGCAACAGCAGCAGCAGCAGCCGCCGCAACCGACACAGCCGCCGCAGGCACCCTCTGGACCCCCTGGGCAGGGCCATCCTCAGCACATGCAGCAGATGGGAAACTACATGGCTCGTGGTGATTTTTCAATGCAGCAGCACAGTCAGCCGCAGCAGCAGAGGATGAACCAGTTTTCTCAAGGCCAAGAAGGCCTCAATCAGGGAAACCCTTTCATTGCCACCTCAGGACCTGGCCACTTGTCTCATGTGCCCCAGCAGAATCCCAGTATGGCACCTTCTTTGCGACACTCAGTCCAGCAATTTCACCACCATCCCCCCACTGCTCTCCATGGAGAATCAGTAGCCCACAGTCCCAGATTCTCCCCTAATCCTCCCCAGCAGGGTGCTGTTAGGCCACAAACACTTAATTTTAGTTCTCGGAGCCAGACGGTACCCTCACCTACTATAAACAACTCAGGGCAGTATTCTCGATATCCTTACAGTAACCTTAATCAGGGATTAGTTAATAATACAGGGATGAATCAGAATTTAGGCCTTACAAATAACACTCCAATGAATCAATCTGTACCAAGATACCCAAATGCTGTCGGATTTCCATCAAACAGTGGTCAAGGACTAATGCACCAGCAGCCCATCCACCCTAGTGGCTCACTTAACCAAATGAACACGCAAACTATGCACCCTTCACAGCCTCAGGGAACTTATGCCTCTCCACCTCCCATGTCACCTATGAAAGCAATGAGTAATCCAGCAGGTACACCTCCTCCACAGGTTAGACCTGGTAGTGCTGGAATACCAATGGAAGTTGGCAGTTACCCAAATATACCCCATCCTCAACCGTCACACCAGCCCCCTGGTGCCATGGGAATTGGACAAAGGAATATGGGCCCCCGAAACATGCAACAGAATCGTCCATTTATGGGTATGTCTTCAACACCACGGGAGATGGGTGGGCACATGAGACCAAATGGTTGTCCAGGTGTTGGCCTTGCAGATCCACAAGCAATACAAGAGCGACTAATATCTGGCCAGCAGCTTCCTAGTCAACAGCAGTCTTTTCAACAGCAAATGCCAACCTGTCCTCCCATGCAGCCTCATCCAGGGATACATCACCAGTCTTCACCACCCCCACATCCTCATCATCAACCTTGGGCACAGCTTCACCAGTCACCACAAAACACACCACAAAAAGTGCCTGTCCTTCAGGTAAGCTACTTCCAATTAGTGGAAAATGTTTCAAATGACTTTAAATGCATTTCAGGATACACAAGAACTATGGTTTCAAAATAGTTGCTCCTGTTTGACTCCCTTGTTTGTTACTGGTTATGTGGCTCTTTTGGTGTACAGAGGCTGAAGGTAAAATGAAGTTCAGGTAGCTTGCTAACATCTTTCAAGTAATTTTTACAGGATAACATTATGGATAGGCTGAAATTTGATACAGCAACAGTACAATACCTGAATACCTACTCTTTTTTTTCATGTTGGTTCCTTTGAGGGGAAAATGGAAAGCACGTGTGAGAATTGTCATTTAAATGATTAATTTTTGTATTTGCAACTTGGAGAAAGAAGTGTGTGTTATAATGTGTTTGTTTTCGCCAAACCGATGGTTTTCTTTAAATTCTAAGGGAATGTTTTGTGGTTTTAAATTAAAGCTGAAATTTTTACATGTGAAAAAATTTCCAGTGTGAACTTCTTCAGCACTAAGTAATGCAACTGAGAAGTGATGGGGCAACAGTTTATGCAAGGAGAAGACAACAGATGTGAATCATAGTCTGAAATAAAATCTGAGGCTTCAATGAAATGTTGAATAGAATTGAAGCTTTATTTTACCTAGTCTCTGATCTGCCAAGTTTCAATGGCAATGTATTGCTTCCATGTCATTTTTTAATTAAAAGCTAAAAATGGTAAAACGTCTTGATTCTCTGTAGCTTATCAGGTTTGACTACCTTCTAGTATGTTAAACTTCAGCTGAAAAAGTGGTTTTAGTGTTCTTCACATTTGCCATTGTTTGCCTGTGGCTCTCTCAGTCAGCATTCAAGAGGTTTTGGTACCAAATGAATAAGTGGTCAAGATATCAGAGGTTTACTTTTAATTTTTTTTTTTTTTTTTAAACCAGTCAGTAATTAATACCAAGTAGCTCTGCCCATAAATATTTGGAGACAATTGCTGGAATGCAGTCGTAATGATATGAGGCTACAATACACTTAATAAATCATAAAAACAGTTGTCCTAGCCCAGTGTCCTGGGCCTGTGCGGGAAGCAGCTGCTCAGCAGTCCCCTCCACTGCTGCCTGCCGGCTGCTTCTGTTCGCTGCTCCACACAGCATGAGGTGGGTCTGGGAATCAGATGTATGCGATACAGAGAGGCAGCTGCCAAGGAGTGGTAGGTGGAGCAGCTCAGCAGCTGGGACAGGCTTCCACATTCCCCGTGGAAGAGAGGAGGGGGGAGCATTGGAGGTGCTGTAGGGTGGAGAAGGGAGATCAGGGACTAAGCTGGGCAAGGGGAAAAAGTACACTGTCTTTCTGGGAGGGAGGAGGAAGCTCTCTGGAAGGGGCAGAGTATATCTTCAAAACCATATTTTTCTTCCCTGCCCTCCTCAAAATTGGTATGAAAAACAGTAGGGATGACAAAAAGAAGTATAAGATTGTTTTTATCCTGAAGATGAGAGCTGACACATCTAGCAGAAAAAACTTGAAAGAAAATCATAGAAATGGTAATGTAAGATTTAGAAGACTGTGAAGGAACAAAAAGCAGTGTCACTGAGATCTTTCACGACTAGTGATGCTGGGGATGTGGGAGGAAAGACTTGAGGTGGACTGTGCCCTAAAGCTGTGGTCTTTACCAGCATTAATTCCTTGTTTTCATCTGATGATCCAGCAAGCCTATTTTGGCATCAGAAGGTGGTTTGGGAGAAGGTTTACTGATAGAATGGACAGGTTTGTTAAATGTTCTTGGGACATTTTTTTCCCTTTAATCAGTGAAGAGGTAAAATGCAAACAGCTCAACTCTTAAATGAGCTATGCAACCTATTACGAAGTGCTGAACTGCAGATGAATAGCTTGAAGAAAGGTAAGTGCTGAAACTAAATAATTAGAGGAAAACCACATGATAACTCAAGTTATTTGATTAAAATCAGTAATTCAAACGGTTGTAGCAAGCCAAGTAAATTCTCTGTTAACCTACTTCTGTAAAGTTTTTATCTGGTAAAAGTTATTATTAACATACTTGCCCATTAAGTAGTTAGTTTGAGCCCTGACTGTAGTAATGAAATTCTTGACAGGCAGGCATTTCCCACTGAAATCTGTTTGGATGAAATGAATATTGTTCAAGTCAACGAAAACTCAACTCCTCCCCACCCCCTGGGGAAAAATGCAGAAGTGCGAAACCCCTGTTCTAAAGCCTGAACACAGAATTGGTAGCTTTCCTGTGTCATGGTTTTCCTTCCATGTCAGTAGACAGAAAGCTGTTCACTGAAGAACGGTTATTTAAATGACTGGTTTGTTTTTATTTGTATAAAATGAATCAACAAAATTAATATAGTCGGTGAAATGGAAATCACTATGTACTTTAAAATCAACAGAAACCATCTTAGTAATTATTTTTCAGTGATTTGAAGCTAGCCTTATCATGGGAAGGCTGTAATACTTGTGGTTAACCAAATTACTGTTTTGTTTTTAGATATGTTGGAAGGAAAGTGAAGTTCTTTTGCTTTTAAGTTGAAAGAAATTGCTGTGTTGATTCCAAGGCTTGTTATTTCTTTTTTTGTGTGCAAAACTGCAAATTATTTTGGCTGGGAGATGAAGCTGGTGATTGACAATTCATCTGGTTTCGATTAATAGCTGAAAACTAAACATGGTTTTTAGGACTGTGTTAGCAGTGAGTTGCTGGCTTCGGTGGAGTTTGATAGATCCATAAGAACCACCACAGTGCTGAGATGTTCAGTTGGTGTGGTTTTTCAGGCGCTCCTTTGAAACGTTCTTCACCACCAAAGGCTTTTAGAAGAGCTCAGTGACCATGGGGTGAGAAGGCACGTTCTGCTGTTGCAGGGTAATCCACCAAGGTGCAAAGCAGAGAGTAGGAGTAGCTTGCTTGTTTTCACAGTGGAGGCATCTGTGTTGAGCTCTTGAGCTTGTGCTCTCCAAAATGCTCATAAATCATCTGGAGAAGGGTGAAAAGTCAGATGGCAAAGTTTGCTGCTGTTGTCAGTATATCCAAAGCAGAGTGCCAAGTGCAGCTGTGGTAAAGACCCTAACGAGAGTGAAACTAAATAATTAGAAATATAGTAGGAGTGTCAGTCACTTGGCCATAAGTAGTGGGAGTCAAGGTGTGGCCAGGGGAGGTTTAGATTGGATATTAGGAAAATTTTCTTCACTGAAGGGATTGTCAGTCATTGGAAAAGGCTGCCCATGAAAGTGGTAGAGTCGCCATCCCAGGACGATTTTAAAAGGCATGTAGATATGGTGCTGAGGGACATGGTTTAGTGGTGGAGCTGGTAATGCTGGGTCTACGGTTAGACTCAATGATCTTAAAGGTCTTTTCCAACATAAATGATTTTATGGTTCTTTGGTGCTTGGCCAGTGAAGAGGCAGGCAAAAGCCTCTCCTTAGGAAAAGGGTCTTGGTGTTAAAAGGCTGTCTGGAAGTGTGCTATGACAGTCGAAGAAAGAAATCGGTAGGAATTGTTATGGAAGTAGTAGAGAGCAAAACAAGGATTGTTACCACGTTGCTATCTGTATGCTTGGTATGCTGGTGTGGCAAGTGCTGTGAAGCTCTGGGTCCCTTCCTCAGGCCTCAGAAAATACGGTAACACTTGGAAAAGCACAGAAGGGGGCAATTTGGGAGGGAGGGAAGGAGAGAGATGGTGAAAGCCTCTAAAATTGTGAGTAATATGGGTGGATGAAGAGGATAAATGTGAAATAAGGGTTGTTTGTCACCTCTTTTGTCTCCTTTAGTTCTTTTTTAAGGTATTCAGCAAATTATCAGATGGTGAGCTCAGAACTGCGCATTAAGATGCTGATCTCTGAGATGTTGCATGGAAAAATGCATCATCATTTGATAAACATGAAGACACCACATTTGGCTCAGCAGATCTGTGCCGTATATAAGTGGCTGAGAATTTGTAATTGGGTTGCATCTACTGTGTGTGTGTGTCTGGTTCTTGTACTCTTCCACATACTTTATCAAAGAGGGGATATCAGGTTAGACAGGCCTCTGGGGGTCTAATGCTGTGTAGTTGCTCTTACATGTCATTATTTTCAGAGCATTTTTTAGTGGTAGAGGAAGTGTAGGAGTTTTCTTTGCCAAGAATAGGCTGTCCTGGGTGTGTTGTTACACACAACTACTTATTTACCCACAGCTACTGTGTGGGCTGAAGTTTCGAGTTCTGTTCATTAATCATGTTCCACAAATGCGATCTACATTATTTATAGTCAAACACAGGAGTATTTAAATGACAAACAGGTATGGTATAGCCTCCATGCTTGACTAAATGGTAGAGCTCAGTGACGGGCACCAACATTGTTGGAGGATGCCAGGTTGCAGTTTCCAACTTCTGGTGGAGAAGGAACACATTTTGTGCGTGTTAAGGGTTCACTGCCAGGTTTACTCTGCTGGCCTTATTATCTGTGGGCATGTGACTTTGCTTTAAATCATAACTCATAGCTGTGTTTGGTATGAACACATTCCTTTGAAATTTCCTGCCCTCCCTTGCAGGGGAAGAGGCAGGGAAAGTCCTGCTGAGTCACCAGCTGGGTCACCCCTCTCACAGGCCCTTCCTGTATTTTCAAACCCTGAGTTGCTGCCTCAGTTTAATTTATACTTGGATGTACCTGAATGGAGAGGGATATTAATGAAAACTACTGTCAGCTGGAGTGTTTTGATGCAATATTTTAACTGGGCAGAGAGTAGAGGTTAAGTCAGTTACTTGCTGGCACACTAAAATGAAGTTGACTTTCTCCTGAGTATTTGTTTTAATGCCTAAGAGAAGAAAGAAGAGATTGACTCCTTACTGTCTTCACATGAGCAATTACCTTTCAGCATGTTTCCTATAATTTTACAAAGTAAGAAATGGTATAATTTCAAATAGTTAAGATTTTTCCCATTAATTAATATTCATAAGCAATTTCCCATATCTCCAGAGAACTGCTTTTTAATCCCTCAGGTGTTTAACTCTTTTACTATTTTCCTTTTGATAAGTAGAACAAGTTC